TCCGAGGAGGAGAGGGCGAGGAGGTGTTAATGCCCAGCCACGAGGAAAAGCCGCGCGTCCGGGCTGGGCGATGGAAATCCTGGTCTTGACGGATTAGTCACCTTGTTTGAGGAGGGGGGGAGAGAAGTGCCCATCTCAGCACCTCGCCCTGCCTAACGAAGCGCCGTTAACGAACTCTGCACCTGCCGTCTCCTCCAAGAATAAGCTGAGCCCGGCAGGTATTTTTTTGGGGGGGGCAAAATATATTGAGAGGGGAGAAAGGGGACCCCGTGAGAGCCAGCCTCTTGCCAACTCCTGAAGTTACAAGGGCAGGTAGGGCAATTAATTCAGAAGGGTAATTAAAAAGGGAGTTCAGGGCAGTTAAACCAACGGGACGAAGCAAAGGCGATCGCATCCGTTGGACAGCAAAGCTCCCAGCTCCCTCCCGAAGCACTACGGGCATCAAACCTCTTCCTGGAAAAATCGTGCCCAGGGGCCCCAGGACGGCACAATCCCCCCCAGTTTCTACCTTGGCTCTACAAGTCCCTCCCTTTTGGGGAAGAAAAAGGAAGATTAAACCCCAATTAAGTCTTCAGGAGTCAAAGCCGGGATCTGAGGGGCTCTTGCCCCCTTATACGTTACATTTGCTTGAAAAAAAATAAAATTGGGGCAAGTAAAAAGCAGCTTGTGTCTTCCTTGTTTGCTTCACCCCTCCCTGTCGTCTTAGGACACCGGGAAAATCCAGTATTTGCTTTTACATACCAGCTTTTGTTTTTCAAATGTGGGTTTTTTTGGTTTTTTGTTTGTGAAGGCTTTGCTGTCTTTACCCAGGCTTGTACGCACAAGCCGAGCCCGATGCAAAAAATTAATCTAAGGCAAACACGGGCAACAAATCCCAAACGCTGTTCGGCGACGCGAAGGAAGAGCCGTTCAGCGAAGCGCTCGCGGAATGCGGAGCAAAACAGAGCACGCCCAGGTCGAAGCGGAGGTGATTTTGGAAGGAACTCAAGCTCTCCCCCCTCATCCTTGCACTACCAGATCTTCAGCCCAAACCAGAGCGACTGCTTCAAGCAGGAACATCAGAGCCTCCTGAACTAGCTCAGGAGACACGGAGCTGGTGGAAGGAGAGATGCTGGTCCCTGCAGCATCCCTGTCCCACCCCAGCAGCCCTGTCCCACCTCGACATCCCGGTCCCACCTTGGCATCTCAGTCCCACCTCAATATCCCTGTCCTACCTTGAGCATCCCTGGTCCCACATCGACTCCCACCTAAGCATCCCGGTCCCACCTCAACATCCCTGGTCCCACTTCGGCACCCCTGTCCCACCTGAGCATTCCAGTTCCACCTTGACATCCTGGTCCCACCTCAGCATCCCTGGTCCTACCTCGGCATCCCTGGTCCCACCCCGGCATTCCAGTTCCACCTTGACATCCTGGTCCCACCTCAGCATCCCTGGTCCCACTTCGGCACCCCTGTCCCACCTGAGAATTCCAGTTCCATCTTGACATCCCGGTCCCACCTCGGCATCCCTGGTCACACCTAGACCACCCAG